AAGGGACTGAGTACCCCTGAACAAGTTCAGAGTGTCTTCATCTCCTTTTAGAAATGTTAGAGTGATACTTTCTTGCCCTGATTCAGCAATCACCATGACCTTATGCCAGGGAACTGATGTGTGCAGAGCAGGTCAGATGCTATTAAGCATGGGCAAGAAGGGTCAGTCTGAGGATCCCCCTTCTACATATCTCAGTTAACCCTTGGCTAACTTAGCACATGGTTAAGTGGACCATTTTGCAAGGATTCTAGTGGGCATCCACTAAATTGCATGTGGATATGACAGCATGCGGCAATTTGTATAGGAATATATCTTATGTGAGGCTATTCCTGCAAAGGTATTGGGACCAAACACTGTTTAGGCCCTGAATCTGAAGTGCAGCTTTTTCCTCACTTCCAGAAATTACTCTGAGGCTCCCACCACAGAGAGAGAATAAAAAACACTGACAAAACCCTATATTCTGACAAAGCTCAATAGTGCTCTGGAGAGTGGCTGGCAACTTGGCAATGGGTGCCTGAATAAGCATACATCCTGTGTTTTATTTTTGAATACATATCTAAATTGTAAGCTCTTTTGCATAATGCTCTGTCCAGCTGGAAGTGACTAGCATTTTTATAATTCAATGGTAGACTCATTAAGAAGCCTAGAAGGTGGGTCTAGCCACTAAGTTATTTGCTGGCTAGACCACTGACATCAGAAATGGAGAATATCATACCATTACAATGATACTCTTTGCTGGGGGGCTGGGTTTAATTGATCACTGATTCCCATAAATATGTAACTGCTTTCAATCAGGTCTACCTAACAACATCTAGTCAGGAGGTCAAAGAAGCTCCCTCTCAGATTATCCTTTCAGGGAACTGTGTATATGCTCTGAAATGTATTCTATACTATATTCAAGTAGGTAGCATGTAACTAGGTACATTAGACTGAACTGATTTAAATCAAGTGATTGCTGCCTCTACTTATTTCCCCCTCTTTCCCAAATAAAAACTTTTTATAGCTGGCTATTAGGAAGAATTGTTGTGAAAGGAGATTTCTCACTAAAACATTCCCCATATGTAGGACTTTTTCCACATTACCAAGCAGGGTTACAGGGGAGGTCTTTGGCAATAGGGCTCAAAAGCTCTCCAAGAAGCTGAACAGATTAGGTTGATAAGACTAGGATTCATTTGTGGTGGCAGACTATCCATAATGCTTTGCTTGTGTGTGTGGATACTTGAAAAGAAGGGATCCACCAGCTGGAACGTCATCTCCACGCTGAGACTCTGAGACTCATCCAGCCAGCAAGAAGTCTAACCCACAGACAACTTAAGCTGGGGACACAAGTTATGCCTTTACTGTCTCCCAGAAATGCTAGAAGTTGATGAAGGGTACTCCTTGTTGCACAGGCCTTTGTCTTCCTAGTTCTGTTCTCTCCTAAGCATGCTTGCATTTAAGTGTTTTCTGAACTAGGTTCACTAGGGTCAGGTAAGTACATCTCAGTAGCAGCCACCATATATTAGCACATCTTCCTTGCCTATTTCCTTGTTTTGTCTCTAGCATTCCAGCTGGTTTTGCACTCCTAAAAATCTTGCCTTCTGTTTACTCTGATCTTTTGGCTCTGCTAGTCAGCTTCTTGACTACATTGATCAGACTCTGCATCTAGCTGGGTGGGAACTAGATAAAAGGATGAATGGTGAAGTTAATTTCACATGTACTTCTCATTCACCTGGTTCACACAGCCCAGAGTGTGTAGGACTGACTATGGGTTGTTGTGGAATTGTGCTGTTGCTGTCACATGCGAGCCCTGAACTATAGGTTGTTAAGTACAACCACCCAGGAAGAGAACCAATGGCTTGCCGTTGTTGAGAACTCTAGATTGGCCATGGTTAACCCACAGTTAAACCATAGTAAAGGGTTTGGTAAAGACAACCTGCAATTCAACAGCCTAAAATTCAGCAACAACTCATTCTCTGGATCATGATTATGTGTGAACCAGACCAGTGTGAAATGAACATCTTCCCACACTGATACTACCATACAAATGTTTTTACTGTATGTGCTTTGATTTGAACACAATCTCTTGCTGTGCAAAATGATCTCCAGATTAACCTTGTGGTCCCACTGCTCCTTTTATGTTAACCTGAAGTTAAGAGATGGACAAATCTGCCAGTTTCAGTTCCTTTCACATTTGAATTTTATTTATCAAACATTCTTGCTTGTTCTGTTTATGGAAAAAAACTGAATTTGTTGGTAAATACTTTTTTTTAAAGCCAAACAATATGAAATTCTCACTCATCTACACTGGCCAATTTTGATAGGTCCAGGTATTCACCACATGTTGGGGATCATATTGTGTTTGTGTGCCATTCAGTTGTTAAAGATAAGAAGCAAGTCCAAAAAAAAAACCCCCTATTAAAAAACAAAACTGGCAAGTCAGCTGCACATGGATGTACACACAAGGCTTCAGACCCAGAATTTTAAGAGTTTTAAGCACTCTATGGTGTCTGCTTGAATAGACAAAGCAATCAATTTAGCTTCCTCTCACATGTGAATTTTTTAAAAACGCAAGGTCTTTCCATTCATTTATAAAGGAAATGGCAAATTTTAGTAAGATATTCTTTAAAAAAAACAGAAGCAAACTAAATTTTCATCCATCTTTACTTGAGGCCTTGTTATTCACGTTGCAATCTGAATAGGGATCAATTGGCCTTAGAAAAGCTAAAAGGGTGGTATGCCAGGACACAAACTGGCATGCATTCATGCTTTCTCACAACAAGCCTGACTCCCAAGTCTATGTGCATACAAAGCTACTGGTATTATCCCAGTAGCAAATAGGAGAGTCTTCTTTTTCTGTTCTTTGGTAGCAGAGTGACATTCATCTCTTTGTCCTGTATATTTTTCTTTGTCCCATTACAAAAGTAATTTAGAACAAGGGTGGGAAAACTCTAGCTCATCAGATGTTATTGGAGTCCAACTTCCATCAGTCTTAAACAGTATGACCAGAGAGAATGTGAGTTATAGTCTAGAAACATTTGAAATGCTATTATTTCTTTTACAGAAAAGAACTCAAACAAGGGTGCAAGCAAAATGTAGATTATTTGCCTCTTTCACTCTGATCAGTCTGACAGTCTTTTTCTGTGTGTGGTAAGGATATTTCACACCTGCAATGTGGTTGGAATTGTGCAACTCACACTACAGAATCCAATGTACATGAAAATGAAAGTTGATCCATGTGCAGAAAAGTACATTCTGCTCAACATTTGCAGAAAGAAACTCATGCAGATTCCATGGCAAGAAAATACCAAAAGGGGATTCGCCTCAAGGAGATTTGCCTGGCACCTTCTTCACATTCTTTTTGGCACCAGGCAAAGACCTTCCTTTTAAAAACGTATTTTAATAATGAATGCCACTTGACCTTTGTTTTGTATTTCTGTCTGTATTTTATTGATATTGATATTTTTAATATGGTGTAATTGGTTTTTATTGTCTTTTTAAATGTTATTGTGAGCCACGCAGAGGTGCTCTGGCACAATTGGGTGGCATACAAATGCTTTAAGTAAATAAAATAATAAATAAAATAATTTTGAGCAGACTGCCATAGAAGATCAGCTTCTCTGCACTGTGCACAATGGTGATGTGGTCTAGATAGTAAGGCTGTTTCCCCAGACTGGATATCCACATCTTAACAGAACAGTGATGGGTATTCACATCAAAATGGTGTTATGAGTTCTGTCATCTTGATTAGTATGAATGGGCCCCATGCTATAGTTTCACCTGACAGACTAATGGTTAATCAAGGTTTTGATAAAATAATGTTAATGGCTATGGAAGTTTTCCTTAATGGCATGGAAATCCCTATCCTCAGAATGTGACACTGAAACAGTTTGTAGCAAGTTTCAATTTAGACAGAAGCAAAGAGCTGCATGTTTAGCCATACAGAAGCATTCTGGGGATGTGTAGAGGTTCAAATATGCTGACTACTGAAGGAATCTGTTATCCTAGTGTGCTCTGCTTGGAGCGTTGTAAATAAAACAAAGATTATAAAGGCATCTTGTTTCTAGTTCTCTCTCATTCAAAGGAAATATAATCCTATATTAGTGCCAGTGAAATTTTTACCACTGGGAAAGAAGAGAAACAAGTACTGCCCATTTATATAGGCATCTCCGGACTGCACTCAAAGGGTTTCTGCGCAAACAAAATATCTAGTATCATGGCACAAAATTCAGCATTGAATGAAGCTGAAGCTTCAAACAAAACTAAAACTGTCTGGCCTCCCTATGCTCCTGATCCTAAAAGTATTCTCTACAATAAACTCCTCATGGTGTTTAATTTTTGTGGTAGGGAAACTGTCTTCCCCTTCAGAAATTAAAAAATAAAATAAAATGAGGAAAGTCAATGCTGCTCCATCAAATGAGCTTCTGCTTTATTTCTGCTGCCTGCCTGCAGATGAGATAAAGGTGAGGTGCAAATATTGTGCAGAACAGCAGAAACACCTCAGGAAACTGGAGAGCACCAAATCCAAATCCAATCTGCTTGTGCCAGACAGGTGGGTTGGCTGGTCTGTTGGGAGATGAACTTGCAGTTCTGCACTCACTGAAAAGCTCACCGTGTGTTGAGCTTCAGGTTTTGCAGTTCTTCAGGTTCTGCATTTCTTTCCTCCCAGGTGAGCTAATTCCTTTCTTTGCTAATATCCTGTGGAATTTTCTGCTCTGTTTTTCTGTTCTTTGAACTTGCAATTTGGCATGGTCATTCATAGTTATTTGCATAATAAGGTATTTTAGGCAGAAATATTCTATAGACATAAGGACTGTGTCCTATTCTAAATGGGTACTCCTATAAGGGCAGGAAGAAATTATTGTAGCATAAACATTAAAGATGAGCAGGATATTAAAAACAAACAAACAAAATGCTTTCCACTTGATTTGAAAGCCTGTTGGAACAGCCAGTATTTGATTAGATGGTTCAAAGGTCTGCCTCAGTATAAGGCAGCTTCATATGCAGAAAAGCCTGCTTACCTGGAAGAACTTCATAAATGCACTCGTCACTATCTTCTCTGGTCTCGTCTTCCTCCAGGTCCAAAGTGGTACCCTGATGAAGTGCCACACTGGGGGAATCAAAACTGTCTACATCATCATAAGCCTCCTCTTTCTCACTGTTGCTGTCCTCATCCTCACAGGGAATATCAGTTGACCTCATATCTGGGAGGAAAAGATAATAATGGAGAAGGGAAAGTCATGACCCACAAAATACAAGATAAACAAAGAGAAAAAGGAACATGGACAGCATAATCAGCTGTTGGCAATTCCTAGGATCAACCCACAGTTGCTATTTTCAGTTAGCAAGAAGTAGGCCAAATGAACGTGGAGATTCCTCTTGTCAGGTGAATGATGGATTGTTTATCCATAAATCACATGCTCAGATCCTAATATCCCATACATGGTTTACAATCACAGATAGAATTAATGGAAGAGCCCACTTCAGTCCTATAATTTGAGCTATTATGTGCTAGAATAAGGGCAGAGATTGCTGTGAGGGTGCTTGATTCAGCCCCATCTCTGAAGCTAAACAAATGTGTATCCATCCAAGACTGCCCTCTTCCCAATGAAGCATGTCTCCCAATTCCTAGAATCAGAAATTCAGGAAGACTAACAAAACATTTCAAGACCAGTGAAATAGCCAAATTTTACATGGAATAGAAACATTAAACATTAAAGGTCTCTGTCTTTGTACCTGCCAGAATAGAAAATTCACCACTTGCGGCAGCCCAGAGGAAACAAAACTTGCAGTGGTTCTGAATATAAAGCAGTGTCAAGTTGCAAGAGAAGAAAGTCATAGGGCAATCACTGAGAATGTTTCCTTGCATGCTTGCAATGTGGGTTCTTCTGGTAGTATTATGAAGAAGAGACTATTATGGATCATAAGGAGATACTCCTGTGTTGAAAATATTTAAGCAGAAGCTTGGTGGCCATCAGTCAGTGAAGCTGTAGCTGCATCACTGTAGACTTTGCATTGAGCTGGGGTTGGAATAGGTCAGAGTTAAACAACAGTCCCTGAATGGCCCTTTGGTGGCCTAATGATACACCTTGATGCCATTTGGTTCCTGGCTGGCATGCTGTGCAGCTGCCACATTATTCAGAACTCTGATATGCTGCTTTTCCACAGAAGTGCTCTGACTGCCAGCTCAGGCAGAGACTTGTGTGATGCCTTCCAAACAGGAAAGATGTTATGCAAGCAAATCCCCCTTTCATCTGCATGGTACCAAGAAGTAGGGCTTGGAGGATAAAGCCTGTCCCTGAAACAAACCAGGAAGGCTGTATGGACTGATGGGGAACCTCTGCAGATCTGATGGACCAGATCGTGGGTGGACAGAAACTCCAGGTGTTTTGGACATCAACTCATAGTATTCCTAGTCACTGGCCATGTGGGCAGGGTCATTTGAGGAGCTGAAGTCCAAAACATCTGGAGATCTACCTTCTGCCCATGGCTGAACAAGATGAACTCTAGCATTCAGAGACTGGATTCAGGTTGAGCATAGGTTTCATGTGGGTTTTTTTAAATTGTTCAACACTAAGAGAATGCATGGATTGTTGTTGGGTTTTAAAGGTTAACAAGGCATGGTTTGTTAGCTTAGTTGAATCCAGACAATACAATAATCTGTGTTTCAACAATAACCCACACTCAACCCCTACTGAACCTTTGAGCATCATTTTGTTGTCTGAACTTAGCCTTTGTGTATAGTTGTTGGTAGGGAGATTATATACAGAACAGCTAAATGTTGTCTTGATCTGGAAGTCTGAAAGAGTATTTGTTTTGGTTCACCTATCTGGTTAACACTGACAAACTAATAAGAGATGAGAGAGGGAGTCTATATTATATATGCATTTACCCAAATCAAGAGGAAAATGGTGAAACGAAATCTGGCATGCTACTGTACATAAACAGGTATGTGGATCAAGGCCAGAATCACCTATGCATCTTGGATAGTTGGATGAAGGGTATTGCCACCCACACCCCACAATATATAGAAGAGCCTTCTTGCAGCCTTCCCCACCCAGGGGCTGTCAGGTAACTTGGATGACAACTCCCATCATCCCTGTCCATTGGCCATATTGGCTGATGCATAAGGGAAGTGCACTCTGAAGCATCTGGTAGGTACCAGTTGGGGAAGGCAGTGGCTTCTGTGCACTGTGGGAGCAATTTGGAAGGGTAGGGAGGAGATTGACTGGTTTAGGTTTCTCAGAAGTAAATGAACTACACCCAGCATATGACCATAGGAATTCCTGATTTAAATGGTCCAGAGCTGAGTGGCATTCAAGGCTAAGTCTTAGTGGGTCCTCTCTCAGAAACCCCACAACTCTCTCATTACTTTCAATATAACAGAAGTTGAAGCAATTAGAGAAACAGACTGGGAAAAAGTTCCTTAACTTTCCTGCTCCTCCAGCAATCTGTTTTAGGGCAGGGGGGTTTCTTTCCTCCAACAAGAATATTTCTAGAGATATTTCTGGAGATATTGCTTAGCAGGAAGCTTGCAGTAGTCTGCTTTTTTGGTTTGGTTTTGTTTTGTTCCTGCCTGCTGCAGGCTGAATTATTTAGCTAATGGGAGAAGGCTGGTGGGTATGAAGTGTTAGATGATTTTGCCTTGGTGTAGAGGAGAGAATGACTTTCTGGTCCCTCCCAGCTTCTATCCAAAATAGTTTAATTTTAGCAGAGTTCATTAAAAGCAAGGCCAATACCAATTCCATATAGTTACCAGCAGAGGACGCTTCAAGAGCATACATTCACCACAACCCAGCGACTGTGTTCACCAAAGCAGACACGAGGTAACTTTTTAATTAACCCATCATGCACGCAGGGGCTTATTTCTGTGCCCCAAACAAATGCCGGGACACGAGGAGGATTAGATATTGCCAGCAGCTTTATATAAAACAATAACAACAACAAAGCTGTAGAGCAGGGATTTGAGACTCATTTCAGGTTTATCTTATTTTAGTTCACCTCTATAAGACTGCATCATTGGACTTCTCAGATAATTAGTCTGAAAGACCTCCTATCCCTTACTTTCTTATCCACACACACTGACATGGATTAGGGCTCTCCTTTCCTTTATAAGCAAGTATAGAAAAGGAATCTATTTTCACCATCTGCACTATAAGCACAATACTGTAGTTAAAGGCTGTTGAGGGGTAATTCGCCAGGGCTGAGAGATCTTGACTATGCATGTTCAGAAGCAGGTTGCTTCTTCTCCTGTTCCTTTTCCCATAACATCTGCCATACAGCTCATCAACGCCTAGAATAGCTTCCCCTTCTTTGTCAAGCATCCTTTGAGTCCCTGCTCGCTTTCTAACTCTTCAGCAAAGCCTAAAACTGCCCTAGCTCTGCCGGCTTGCATGCCCTCCCATGCCACCTGGCTTTCCCTCACCTTCTGCCCTTTTCATCTTACACAGACTGTAACCCCTTTGGGCAGGAGCTGTCACATCTGGGCTAAGTAATGTATAACACCAAGCACCCTTCTGGGAAGTAAGTAGTAAATGCTACTGTGATTTAGTAGATGATCTAAGAGGTGATGGTGGCTCAGATGAACTCACTCACTGGAAGAATACATGACAGGGCTGCAAGGCTAAGGAGGCTGTGTGCAAAGAAGCCATGTTCCCTTTGTCCATGCCATGGGCAAGGTGTTCATACGTGCATATGAACTCATGTATATACATATAGATAGCACCTCCGTGTGAGGAAGGATGCTGACTGGGCCTGAGTCCTTCCTCTCATGCAAGGGCTCTCAGTGGGTTCACATGTAGAGTACCTTGGCATGCAGGTTGAATGCATGTAGCCACGGCAGTCACACATTAGTCAGGGAAACTAATGGTCACATGTGGATTTTAGCCCAGGCCTTCCTTATCAATAAGGAAGATTTTATCAATGCTGCAGGGTTCAGATGCACGCACATGAAAGAACATGTGAAACATATGTTCCTACCTGACCTGCTTCCACTTGTGACCTGGGACAGCAGGGCCCTGCTTTACTGACTGGCCAGCACAGGAGGAGCTGTAACTCCATGGCAAAGTACCTGCTTTGCACTTTGCAGAAGCTGAATCCCTCACTGCGCTGAGTAGGGCTAGGAAAAAGTTGTGCCTGAAACTCTGTAAAGTCACTGAAGGCCAGTGTCCACATTACTGGACTAGATGGATCAAGGTTCTGACTCAGCTTCCTACACTGTGGTTATAAAGACTGCAGCCTCTGCTGTTCTTTTCCTACTTCCTGGATTGTTTTCTTTTTAAATTAGTGCTTTGTTTGACAGAAGTATGAATTATTACTGGATTGTTTTCTCCTAGTGTGTATTGATTAATGTGATGTGTTTTTGTGTATGTCTATATAAATCTTGTTCTAACTTGTAGCTGTAAAATAATTATTTGGAAATGCTGTTGTATTTTATTGTGCACTCTTTTTGTGTTACTGTAAGTGGCTTTGAGCACTTTCTACCCTAAAAAGTGGCTTACAAATGAACTGATCCTACCAGGCAACTCTCTAAAAAGAAATCCCCAGACTGATGTTCCTGATCAGAGACTGCCATCTTTAAGCAGGTTGCCTTCTGTTTTCTGAGAGCTTCTGACAAGCTTATCACCATGTTTGCATGGCTTTCTGCACAAGGACAAGAACCTCACTGAAAACAGATGCAAAAGTCAAGATTCTCAGGAATGTTTATAAAGTTTTCTGAGAGGATAAGAAATCTATTGAAAAATATACACATAAAAGCAAGATTCTCAGGAACTTCAAAACAGCACACTGGTAACACAGTTCTACCTAGGAAAAGAGAACTTTCTATGGTCTGAGGTTTATACATCACTCAGCCTAGAATTAAAGAATTTTGTAGTCAATTCCTGTCTGAATAACTGACCGAAGTATATGCACTTCACTTTAAAATTACAATATAGTAGTGACTAGAAATGTACAAGAATTTTATTTGTGCTCACAAAATAGTTGAGCATGCCTTGTGCACAACCCTGAATGTGAACAGGAAAATGTATTCCCCAAAAATGTTTACAAATTCTCCAACTTGTAGTCACATTCAAAGATTGCACAAGTTTAGGGGAAAAAGAACTTCAACATTGCATAATTGCATATGGGGGGAAGTTATGGAACTATGAAAAAAATGTGCCAATTTTACATTTGATCATGTTCAATTTGTGCAATTTCTCTATTTGCCCAGGAGAACTGTGCATCAAGTTGATCTTGGAAGAATCTGGCTGAATATGAGCATCATTTGTTCACCCATTTCTAGTAGTAGCTGGCATTTGTGAACAGGCCAGGAAACATTAAATGTAGAACCGTCATATCATCTTTAAATCCCAGAGGTGGGCAACTTGTGGCCCTGTGAACCTTTGACCTACAATTTGCATGATTTGTCACCATTAGGTATGCTGGCTAGGCTGCTGGGAGTTGTATCCAAATATCTGGAGGGTCATAAGTGGTTCGCCCCTGTTGTATCCCCTCAAACACACTGCTTGACAATGATGGCAATTCGTGCAGTCAGCTGTGCGCAATTATCTGTTAAGCAATCAAATGGTATACATATTTATGTGACTCATGCTAATCCACATGATTTGATTTCTCTTTAGTGACCCACCTTTCATCAGGAATGATATCTGATCCACCCAGTCCATGGCTTCTGCAGGGTTAGCAGCTGTGAACTGAAAAGAAACTAGTATTGTCACTGTGTGATTTCCACCCAGAGATCTGCACCTATCAATATACATGTGACTGTATCCCAGAACTGTACCAACAAGTGGTATAGGTCACACTTCAGCTGACACCATGTCTGAATAGGCATGCCACTTCTTCTGAATAGGCATGCCAGGGCTGTATTTGTGTGAGTACTTCATTAAGGATGAGTTTGGAAATGCATGCATCACAGAGAGAGATCCCATATTACCCCTAACATCATTTGAAATGCAACATTTTCTTGTTTAGGCAGTTTACACATTCAGCTACCGAATCACTGAGCGATGAGAAATCTAATGAAATACACATGCATCTGTAAATGAACCTTAGCATGTAATGTTTTTCTCTGGACAAATATCTGGCAACATACCCTCATTGCTGCTGTCTCATCCTTTCATCTTTTCATGTAAAACACTTTTTTAAACTAAAAAAATAACTTCCCGTTTGCATATCTATTTAGCAATCTCCAAGAATAGAAACATCTGGTTTATTTCTTATGGGGTAATGCTATGAAAATGGCTGGTTATTCTGGGACCCTTCAAAGCATATGTAAATATTCCTCATACTTCTTTTTTAATTTTCCCACCCCAGGAAAATCATTGGTTTGTCTTTGCACATATCTAGTGTGGTGGGTTCTTTTAAATAACTATAATCAAGCTTCATGCCATACTCCCAAGAGGAGGCAGTAGATATATAATGAAAACACATAAACGATGTAGTAGTGCAGGACACCTGGGGACAAGGCGAACAAAGTTATGAAGAGAAGACAGTGCTCATATTGGCATGGCCAGGAGTGACAATTCCCAGTGCCCCAAAATATGCAAGGCAAGAACTGAATATATACATGTATTCATGTTCCCACTACAGATCAATGGGTTGGAATTTGAGACACAAAGCTGGCTTTACCAGCAGGCACCTCTAGGTGGCAGCATAGGGCAGTGATTTGAAGGAAAAATTGTTTCACACCGCTGGGAACCTTCCCCAGAGATCAATACCTTGATACATATAACTTTGCTACTGAACATCCTTGTGATGATAGTCATTGCCTGGGCCCTCTGTAAATGTCTATCAATAAGGCAGACAATGACACCATAAAAGCCTAATTTGAAATCACCCAAGACAGAGAAGTGGACAGTAAGTGTGAAGTGAGTGGGCCTCCATAGTAAAGCATTGCCCAAAAGGGTCCAGGGGGCTTCCAGATGGAGCATTCTGACTGCTAACACTCAAAATGCAATGTACAACTATTCTGTCTTTCCTTAATAGACTTTTTTCTTAAGGAACAGATGCAAGAAATGAGGAAACATGGGAGGTCTGTAAGAAGAAAACTCTGTTATCTAGACTTCCTGTAAAATTCTGTGGAGGAGAAAGAGCAATTGCAGAACAAAAGCCTTGTCTGGAAGTGCTCCTACTCTTGACTCACCTCCACTGGGACTCTTCAGAGGTTGAAAGGGTAAGGTGCAACCCCTCCTCTTACTGAGCACAAAACAGAACTTCTTGGCTAGAACATGTTTCTCCTGGCCATTTTGGCAGAAGTACTTTCCTTTTCTGCCAAACCTACCTCATAGGTACGTTTTCCAGGACAGATCAGTTCAAAACAGCAATCTCTTCGCGAGTCCTTGCGCACATAGGGAGCCAGCCGGGCACAATAGTTCTTGATGGGGAACATGCCTTTTGGTTGTTTGCCTGTGCAACATGGAAAAAATAGTTCAGCACAGGCACTGCATACATTCAAGTTGCTGGTGAAAGTTACTTGGAGAACACACAACCCAAACAGTGTCCCACAGATTTCCTATAAACCTGAGGTAGATGGAGATGAAAGTGCACCCCAGTGAAATGGAGAGGGCAGCCGAACCTTTCCTTTACTCATGCCATGTACTCCTCCAGAGGAGTTTGCATCTAGCCACTAAGCCCAGTCACAAGGGGCAAGCAGGCCTCCCCGCTCATTCTCCTTTATAGGGATTTGGCAGCAGATCCCTTTCTGCACCCAGTTCTGCTGCTGTCCTGTCAGCCTTGGAGAGCTAGTCCCTCTCAGGCTCAGCCCTTCCTTCTGGAATAAACTATTATTAATGGCCTTACTAACAGGATTGTTGCAAGGATGTGGCTCATGACAGATGTGGAAAGCTTTGAACCTGTGAGATATGCTATGTGATACTAAATACTATTGTCTGTATTGTTGTTGCTGCTGTTATTAGTGCAGAGTCTTTTCGCATGGATTTTCTTCCCTTTTCCAATGTCTGCAGCAATGCAGAAGAATCTGTCTAATCCTTGGGTGTGCTAGTATGTGGCAACTATTCAGGACTGGTTCCAGGTGCAGCAGTTTAAAGCTCCCACTTGTGGCACCCTTGACATGTGCAGTGGCATGAAGACAATAGACAGTGGAGTGGTACAGGGGCAGGGGCACTCTGCAGGATCCATGCCACGCCCAGCCAGCCAGGCCACCAAGCATTACAGGTGGAGGGCAGGTTATTCTCATGATTGAACAATGTCCTTCAATGAAGCACTCATTTTCTTCCACAGAGCTGAATGGTAGCAATTCATTTATACAGGAAAAAAGTAAAGGTGCAATTTAAGACACTACTGGGATGAAAGCTAAAATTGCTTCTTGCTCCTGTGATGTTGGTGACTTCACCACTGACAAAACAAATCTATTCTTATCTGCATTCCCGCCCAGGCTCTTCTCCTGTCTCCGTCAAGACAGAGCAGTTTCTTTCAACCTTGCGATCTCCGGATATGTTGGATTACAACTCCCACCATCCCCAATAGTTGTACTGGCTTGGGATTATAAGAATTGTGGTCCAGCATATCTGGAGGCTGTGTGGTTGGGGAAGGTTAAGCTAGAGTATGAAAAAAAATGGGCACACACACACACACACACAAACACAACCATTTTATGATCCACACAGAGCCAGTGTCCATAATCTGCTGGGCTGCAGTGAATGAAACCCTGAGACTCCAAATGCAGACTGCTCTTTCTTCCTGTATATTTTTACCCTGCTTGGCATTCATTCTCTCTGGATGGGAGGCACAGTATAATCATAGCCCATCTATCTCAGCCTGCCAAATTCTGTTGGAAGTATTAGCTTCCTGTTTATATGCATCTGATGGAGCATAACTGAAAAATATTTATACATGCTGACACATAAGATTATATATGGTCACTTAGGGGAGGGTTAAAGCCCGTCCGACAACTAATGGGAGAAAAAAATGGGCTGTACTTTATTTACACAGGGCCTTGTGTCCGTATTTCTCCTTTCCCTCATTCTTTACTGACAAGGGTGTTAGAATACAACCAGACTGTGTTCTTCCTTCCTAAGGCTGCATCTAAATGGCAGAGTCCCACGCTGCCTGGTGAGCAATTTATCACTCAGCTGGAAGAGCCGGTGTGATGTAATACTCAGAACATTGCATGGGGATGAAGGAGACCCAGAATCAAATCCCTGACTGGCTATGAAGCTCACCAGCGACTTTAGGTAAGTAATTTTCTGAGCTTAACCTACCTCACAATGTGCAATTTACTAATGTATGTCCCTCTGAGATACAAGGATGGAAAGGAATACAAGGAAATAAATATGCTACAAAATTTCATTGGATTTTATACAACAATTCCTGGGCCGGTTTTTCAACTTCCGTTTCTCCAAACTGAAGTACTGGAGATTAGTTGACTGATACGAATCCCTAGCCCTTTGAATGTCTCTGCAGAATTCCTTTCTTTTTCTCCTAAGGACAACTGGGTGATGTTGATATATTGAAGGAATATGGGTTTATGCTTTTTTAAAAAATCACAAACTTTTTTCATTTGCATAGTAGTAGAAGGCCATATTGTCAAGGATGCACCATCGTTTCTGCCACTCAGAGCCAAAGATTTTGGAATCTGTAAAGAAGAAGAAGGGGTAAATCAGCAACAACTAGAAAATAAGCAATGGTTCTCCATCATCAGAAGGGTTTCCAAGACAAACCTCCCATATCAATCAGAGGTGGCAGTTGTTCATATTATCATCAGTCATATCAACTACGACGACTACTACTCCTAGGCATTTGTTTGTGGCAAATTTGTACTTTTAGTGTCTGTCCACCATAAACTGAAAGCAACCTGTGAGTAGATTCTCATGGGAAAATTTACATTTCCAAAAATAAAATGGGCACATCTATTTTAAGGGCATATTCGTATATTTATGGTCTTTGACTTTAAAATATTTGTAAGTGGCCTAACCCTAATCTTATCCTAAATAGGTCAAAAGGCAAATAGTACACTCATCCCCTTCTCTTTAGTTGATACAGTGCATCTGAACGTACCAGATGTACTCGGGCTCTCTTTATAGCATCAAAACTGTTGCAGAGAAGCGACCCACAGTCTTGGCTCTGGCTGCTTCAATACTCCAGTTACAAAAAACATAGGGATTGGGGGGAATGTGAATTTAAAAATCAACTGAATTTGCTGTGAAGACTGCTTTGGCATATTTTTACCTTTGGATCGTTTTTCCAAGTATCCTTGTTTTAGAATGAGTCCTTGCTCCTGAATGGCCTTTTGAAAGTTGGTTTCAGCTTAAAACAAACAAACAAACAGAACATTAGGATTAAACATGGGAAATTAAGCTTGGCAAAAGTATGGGGAATTTCCCAGGACAAAACAGTCAAGGTAATCTTGTGGTAAGTTAGTCAGATTGCATCCCTCAGTATTGCCAAATTCACATTATTTAAGAGATACAGAGGGCAGTGGCTGACAAGCAGCTTTCATGCGGTCAGGCCTCACATCCCATCAGTATGCATCGAATGCATCAGTATTCACATTCCACTCACGCATCAAATGGAATGCATGAGTCCTTACCATGCTTTGCACTGGGTGGCAGGCTAATGTCCTACCAGCCCCTTTCCCTGGAATGCTTCCATCTGCGTACAGGGTAGTAGTCCAACACTGAAGCTGAATGGAACCTGTTTTAGCTCATGCAACCATGCTGTGCCCAACACAGACATACCCTAGGTCCTCACACAGAAGTAAATTTCATTTAGTCCAATGTGGTTCTAACCAGTGCTTTTTTTGTAAGAAAAAAGGTGCCAGAACGCATGAAATTATTTACCTTTCACATGTAGTCAATCACTGTACACACACCCACACACGTCAGTTGTGTAACAAAACATAACGGTCGCTGCCTGCAGTAAGCACTCAGCGTGCGACCACACGACCAATCACAAGCCGAGCAGCGCCACAAGCCGAGCAGCGCCTTCGCAACCAGTGCGGACGAAGTACACTTGCATCAGACTCGACACACAAGCAGCATGCACCATTTTCATGATTTTGCCGCCGACTTGCTACGCTCAACAGGGCAATTCAAATCCACGTGGACCAAACATCAAATTTTCAAAAGTTACTTTTAAAACTTGGAAAATCTGTTGAAAAAAGGTGCCAGAACTCTGTTCCGGTGCATTCTATGACAAAAAAAGCATTGGTTGTAACATAAGAATAGCCCAACCCTCCCCTTCATGTCACATGAAGAAACCCCTTGGGCAAAACATTCAAAAGCAGGGCCTCAGGTAGGCACAGTGGTTTTCACATATATAGTCTAGAAGGAAGGGAGAGTAAACCCCCTTCTTCTTTACCAATCTCCACTCCACTTCCAGGAATTCATACATAGGTTAAACAGTGAAATCAGGATGTATATCTGGTTGGATCTTTGTTTTCCCTCTCAGCCCTTCAGGAGTTCCTCCTGAAAAAATGTATCGTTTGGAGAAAAAGGTTTTTGCCAGTGTCTTTAAGGGGCCCAGAGAGAGGATGTCTGTTCTCTCCTACCTACGCAATGAACAACTGTATGATGTCCTGCTATGGGAGCTGAGAAATACTTTAGGATTGTTCTTAAGCAAGCATTAGTTCATCAGTGTGTGTGTTTAATTTTCTTTAAAAGCAACATCTCATTTCCGTAGCTTTATCTTAACTCTTTAATAAATACATCATTAATTGAAGCTGTTTGAGATGTCTAGTGCAGCATAACTTAGAATCTGTCCTATCTATGTGCTTAACCATTCATCCACACTGTAAAATTGTTAAACGGTGATTCTAGGAAATTCCAGTTTGCTTCACTAAGCATGCTTCCTTCCATCCACTTCAGTATCTCAGATGTTGCAAAGTTGGCTTCACTTCCTGGAAAGACCTAGGTGATTTTAAAATAAAGACAGAGGCAAGCAGCCTTTCACCTCAGCCAGCTCTCTGAGATAGGTGGATAACAGGTACTTAATTCCAGGTGTCAGGGTCCCTTAAGTGGCCAAACAGATGTGCAGCCAGTTCCAAATACAAGACACATTCAAAGTATTGCATCCAAACCTCCAGCACTGGAAATGGACAGAGACAAATTGTCTGTATGTAAATGTTGCTGGGGATGTAACCTACAAAGGCGCTGCACATTCTTGCCCTGGGAATTCTTTCTAATTCCAGATGTTTGCTTCAGTGTAAGAGAAAGGCATTCTGTAAGTACATCTTTGAGGTAAACTAATAACAAAACCAATGCATTGCCTAAGTTTTGATATTAAAAACAGAACCAAAATTAATCTTGGTTCTGGTAGCAGCCCAGTGTAGAGATCTGGACAAGTAGTAGTAGTACGAGGAGGAAACCCTCCTCACTACACAGTACAGTCAATTGCACATTGTGGGTGCATTTAACAGACATTCTAGCACATTAAGGCTGTCTCTGTGAATCGATCCTCAGTCTGCCTCAGCCAGAGATTTACACCATCTCTCAGACATTTACATAACCTTTTGCCAAGCCTGCTTATATTTCTTGGTAATTAGCTAGAAGCTGGAAATGAAGAGTCAATTAATTCTTCCAGTTTCTCAGCATGAGAACTGGGGAACCAGAGGCTCCAACCCAAGGTATCTTCCCACTTCAAGTGGCCACACTGCAGGACCTGAGAGATGTGCACTAGGAAGGATCGTTTAAATGTTGTAAAGGATGCCAGGACCTGATGTATGGCCCATATGCAACTTACTCTTGGAATCATCTGCCACACTGCAAGCCTTGCATGCTGTTTGATTGGCACACTTGAAATGCTGGCTCCCCTAGTAACTACTTGCAGTGTTTGCACAATTGAACTGTCCCTGAGCAGCAGAAGTCTGAAGACAAAATACAGTTCTGATAGATATACTAGATCCAGTACACAAGCAGCACACAACAATTCCTGGAGTTCTGAACAAATTGCCTTACTGCTGAATAATGCCCTTCTCCAACCCCCACCCAATACACAATAAACCTCTGTGTACCCAGAACATAAGAACTGCCCTGGAAACTCCTTTTCACATGTAGATGGCTTCACTTTGACCAAGAGGAAAGCTTATGCTTGGGAGAAATTCGCAGTTTTCAATAGATGTGGAATTATGCAAATGCAACACACAAAACCCCAGGGTTGTGTGAGCCATTCTGTTTCTGAGAATATCAGCATTTACTTTTAATCTATATTGTAATGTGCTATGGGATGTTGTGGTGGAGGTAATGGCATTTCCAGTTGTGACTGGCTCAGCTACCTTGTCTGTCACAGAAGAACGGGCAGCCAGAATAGCCACTGGCAGCCATTCATTGGCTTAGCTGCTCTGCTTCTAAGGGGTTTTGTTGGCCACTGGCTGAGCTGCTTAAATCTGAAAATGGAAATCCTGACAAGCTTAAACATTGCTGATTCTTTCAACTCTATCCTACAAGCTTATTAAGGATTCCTCAACATGACGAACAGCTGAAAGACAGCTTCTCCAGCACTACTGATCAACCCCTGCAATATGCAGCTGAAGGGGTCCATTCTAGGGCACTCCTACTGGAGACATTTATCAGGAACACATTATTTCCTACTGAGGGTTGTTTATAGGTTCTTTAGATGATGTGACTTTTCAGTTTTTCTTCTTTGTCTAACCACTACATCTAGTAAGGTTTTCAGAGCAGGGAAAACATGCCTTTTGATTGTGAAAGCAAAAGAAAGTGTGATTTACCTTTACATATTTCTGCTGTTTTGCTAGACCACAGTGCCACCTAGCAATTCTGTAATGCAAAGCAGGAAAGGAAATTCTTGTGTAGCACTTGGAGCTCAATTCTGCAATTAAATGCAATGCAGATAAAGCTGATTAACAGTCTCACGTAGTTCATAATGGGTGGTTTATAAGGTTTAATATTGCTCTGTGTGAACTGAGTGTAAACCAGATTCCTCTGGGAATCTGCAGAGGTTCTGTGGCAGACAGAGTTTTCCTGGTTGACAGAGATGTAGAAAATGTTCCCTAAAGGTAGAACACTTAAAAAAACACTTCTGACACACATCATCTGTCAACCTGGTCAAACACTGATTAAAATTGTGCATCAGTTATCAAATTCTGCAATCAAATGTTGAAATCTAGTGATATTGAATGTCAGGTATATGTACATATTGGGTGCTTTTGTCTCTTATTGTGGCAGCAAACATGAAACAAAAGGAGAGGAGACTTGGAGAGAAAGATGAAACTCTTATTAAGTGAGAGAGAATGTTGATGTACTGTTGTAGGGAGTTAACAGGAAATAATAACTTTCTCTCCTTCAAGAGGAAAATATAAACAAAAATATGATTTTAATAATTTAATCAAGTAGGACAAAAGAAGTGTGCTGAATGTTTAGAGTGAAAAAGCTCCATACATAAGAAGGCCAGAAAACGGAAAGTGCAGAGACAAGAAATATCACAAGGGAGTGGAGGATTAATAAGAATTTGACTATCTGATGAATGGAAAGATCAAAGCAAGGGATACAAAAAAAATGAAGATAGATTGTGGGGGTGAGAATATGCAGAACTGATGATTCCAAGAAGATGTTTAAGTAATGCACAGACATAGAGAAGCCAGTGAAAGGAAACTTATAGAGGTATAACATAATTAAAGAATGAAGCACATTAAGAAGCATAAGAGCTGAGAATATAGGCTTTTCAACATGAAGCTGTTAACTGCTGCCATCTATTTTCAGTTTTGTTGCAGCACTGAGATCTGAGCGCTACTCAAAGAACTCTTCCTTTCCTACTTTTCTGCTACATAACCTCAAGGTGGAGTTGTAATCCTTGTATATGAAGCTAAACAGAACTGTTTCCTCCATTCCAATGCAATTCCTAATTTCCTCCATTCTGTAAAAAAGGGGGAAGGGGAAGTATCTGAAAAAACTCTGAACTTGAAGCTGTAGAAACACATCATCTAAAGTGTCATCTATAAACAACCATGAATCATGAGTGAACAATAAATGCCTTGTGTAGAAAGGCTCTTGGTTTAAATGAAAATAAATAAATGCATAAAATACAACAACAAACAATATGGGAAAAACAGTGGTCTGCATGAGAGTTTTAGTAGAGCCAATACATTAAAAAGAGGAACTTTCAAAACATTGGGAGGGGAAGAAGTTACAAATCTTAACTGGAGTTTAATATGAGCTAAAACGAAAGAACAGGAGGATGCTAGATCTCTTAACTTCCTGAGCTTTCCTGGGAAGAATGAAGGATATTTTAGCTAACTGGAAAAAAGACAAAGTTCATGACTATTTCAGGGCAGGAATTAGAGGAAAAAGAGG